TAGGCATTGCCTAAGAAAGACTTAGTGTAACTGGAAGAAAACTTTCGCAATGAGGCAAGGAGAGGCAAAAGAATAAACAAACAGAAGAAAAAGTAAAGGTCATAGAGAATAGAGTGAGAAGGTCTGACATTTAATTGACATTCCAAAGAGAGAAAAGAGTGGATCAAAGCATAATGAAATATGTCTGCGAATTTTCCAAAAATGATGCTATTTGTCTACAAATTCAACCTGCCCAACAAGGTTCAAGCAGGATTAAAACAAAAAATACATTTACATTTAGGCAACTGATAATAAGAATTCAACAGTCAACTATCAGCCAGTAACTGAGAGGTAACTGTGATTCACATTCTTAGCAGTTACTTTGATTCCTTTCTATAGCATCTACATAGCTGTTATCACACTGAGGAGACAATTTTGATTTCTACTTTTTAAATAACAGCTTTACTGGGATATGATTAACATCCTATAGCATTCACAATTATTATTTTTTGTTTAGCATTATATTTTTTATTTTTCACAATTATATATTTTTTATTCAAATATTTAATAGGATTTGTGATCAGTTCTTTAAGATAGATTTGTAGAAGTTGAGTTACTAGATCTAAATATGTGAATATTTTATTTATTTATTTTTAATTGATACCTAATGTTTGTACATATTTATGGGGAACATGTGATATTTTATTACATGACTAGAATGTGTAATCATCAAGTCAGGGTATTTAGGGTATCCATCTCCTCGAGTACTTATTTCTATGTGTTGGGAACATTTCAAGCCCTCTCTTCTAAATATTTTGAAATATATAATACATTTTTGTTGATTATAGTTACCCTACTCTGCTATCAAATATTAGAACTTATTCATTCTAATTGGATGTCTGTGCTCATTAAGCGACCTCTTTTCATTCCCTGCCAACCCCCTCACACCATTCCCAGTCTCTGGTATGTATCATTCTACCTTTATGAGATCAACTTTTTTATCCCCCACATATGCATGAGAGCATGTGATAATTGTCTTTCTGTGTCTGGTTTATTTAGCTGAACATAAGGACTTCCATCCAGAACTACCCATGTTGCTGCAAATGACATTATTTCATTGTTTTTATGGCCAACTAGTATACCATTGTGTATATATCACATTTTATTTATTCATTTATTCATAGACACTTAGGTTAATTCTGTATATTTGCTATTATGAATAGTGCTGCAATAAACATGGGAATGCAGGTATTTCTTTGATGTAGTGATTTCCCTTCATTTGGTTAAATATCCAGTACTGTAATTGCTGGATCATATAGTAGTACTATTTTAGCTATTTGAAAAAAATTCATACTGTTTTCTATAGATGTTGTATCAATTTACATTCCAGCCAACAGTATATAGATATATATCCTTTTTCACGGCATCCTTACCAGCATCTGTTACTTTTTGTCTTTTTAATAATATTTATTCTAAGGTAAGATGATAGTTCATTGTGGTTCTTATTTGCATTTCTCCAATGATTAGTGATGCTGATAATTTTTATATGCCACACGTATGCATATTTTGCAAAATGTCTACTCATGTCCTATGCCTGCTTTTTAATGGGATTATTATTTATTATCTTCAAAATTTTTTTAATCTTAAGGATGTGGGGTGCAATTCAGGGTTAGGTATACAAATGCTCATTATGCAGGCACCCTTGTTGATGAGGTTTGTTTTGTTGTTATTTGTTTCACTGTTGAGCTATTTGAGTTCCTTGTATATTTTGGATATTAGTCTTTCTTGAATGAATAGTTTGCAATTATTTTCTTCCATTCAACAGGTGGTCTCTTCACTCTGCTGATTGTTTACTTTAATGTTCAGAAGATTTTAGTTCGACATAATCCCATTTGTCTTTTTGTTTTTGTTGTCTGTGTTTTTGAGGTTTTACCCCTAACACTTTTGTCTAAATCAATGTCCTGAAGTGTTTCCCCTATGTTTTTCTCCAGAGTCACAGTTTCAGATCATATATTTATTCTTTAATTCACCAAGATTTTTGTATATGTTGAGAGATAGGAGTCCAGTTTCATTATGTTGCATACGAATATTCAATTTTCCCAGTACTACTTATTGTAGAGGGTGTCCTTTCCCCAATGTATGTTCTTGGTGCTTTTGTCAAAAATCAATTGACTGTAAAATACATGTTTGTTTGTTTGTTTTCTGGGCTCTCTAGTTTGTTACATTGTCTAGGTTTCTGATTTATAACAAAATTTTGTTTTGGTTACTATAGCCTTGTGATATATTTTAAAGTCAGATAGTATGGTGCCTTCAACTTTGTTCCTTATGTGCATAATCACTTTGACTATTCAGGCTCTTTTTTGGTCCCTTACACATTTTAGAATGATTTTTTTCTGCTTTATGAAAAATGACATTGGTATTTTAATAAGAATTGTACTGAATCTGTAAATTGCTTTAAGCAGTTGGTCATTTAACAATATTAATTCTTCTGATTCATTAGCATGGGATGTCTTTCCATTTGTTTATGTCATCTTTAATATCTTTCATCACTGTTTTTTTAGTTTTGCTTGTAGAGGTTTTTCACTTTCTTGGCTAAATTTTTTCTAAGGCATTTTATTTTATTTTATTTTCCTGAAGCTATTGTGGAATTTCCTTCTTGATTTCTTTCTCTATAGTTCACTATTGTTGTATAGAAATGCTACTGAATTTTGTATGTTGACTTTGTGTGCTCCAAATTTACTAAATTTGTTGAACAGATCTAAGACATGTTTTTTTTTAGTGGTGCCTTTAGGTTTTTCTAGGTACATGATCATGTCATCTGCAAAGAGAGACAATTTGACTTTCTCTTTTCAAATTTGGTTATCATGTATTTCTTTCTCTTGCCTGTTTGCTGTAACTAAAACTTCTAGTACTTGTGTTGAATAGGAGTTCTGAAAGTGAGCATCCTTGTCTTGTTCCAGTTCTTAGAAGAAACAATTTCAGCTTTCTCCTATTCAGTATCATGTTATCTGTGGGTTTGTCATATGTGGCCTTTATTATTTTGAGGTTTCTTCTATGCCTAGCTTTTTGAGAGTTTTGACTATGAAGGGATATTGAACTTTATCAAATATTTTTTCTGCACCTATTGAGATGATCATATGTCTTTTGTCTTTTGTTCTGTCAATGTGGTATATCATGGTTATTGATTTGCATATTTGAACCATCCTTGTATCTCTGGGATAAATCCCACTTGATCCTGATGTATTATTGCTTTGGTGTGCTGTTGTATTCAGTTTGCTAGTATTTTGTTAAGGATTTTTATGTCTATATTCATCAGTGATATTGGCCTGTAACTTTCTTTTTTTGTGTGTCCTGATCTTGTTTTGGTATCAGAGTGATACTGGTTTCATAAAATGAATTAGGGAGAATTCCCTCCTCTTCAAGTTTTTGGAAAAATTTGAGAAGAATTTGGATTAGTTCTTCTTTGTAAGTTTGGTAGAATTCAGCAGTGAAGCCATTTGGTTCTGAGCTTTTCTTTTTTTGGAAGAGTTTTTGTTACAAATTCAATTTTATCACTTGTTATTGGTCTATTCAGATTTTCGATTTCCTCCTGTTTCAATTTTATGTGTCCAGGAATTTATCCATTTCTTCTAGGTTTTCCAGATTGGTAGTGCATAGTTGTACATAACATTCTTGCCTACTAATTTTGAGTTTGATTTTTTTCTTGCTTTTCTAGTTTCTTGAGATACACTATACATTATTTGAAATCTTTCTACTTTTTTGATGTAGAAGTTTATTGCAATAAACTTCCCTCCACAGCTTTTGCTGTGTCCCATTGATTTTTGTGTGTTGTGTTTTGACTTTCATTTGTTCAATACATTTTTCTGATTTGTTCCATAATTTTCTTCCTTGGCCCAGTGGTCATTCAGGAGCATCTTGTTTAATTTCCATGTGTTTGCACAGTTTCCAGAGGGTTTTTTTGTTATTGATTTCTAGTTTTATTCCATTGTGATCTGAAAAAATACTTGATATAATTTAAATTTCAAAAATTTGCCAAGGCTTATTTTGTGTCTTACATATGATCTATCCTGAAGAATGTACCACGTGCTGATAAGAAAAATATGTATTCCATAGCTGTTGGATGAAATGTTCCACAAATGTCTGTTAGGTCCATTTAGCCTAAACAACTTAAATCTAATGTTTCTTTGTTAATTTTCTGTCTAGATGATCAGTCTAATGCTGAGAGTAGAGTGTGATCCTAGATTATGATTACATTGGAGTCTATTTATTTCTTTAGATATAATACTATTTGCTTTAAATATCTGGGTGTTCTGATGTTGGGTGTATATATATTTAAAATGTATATCTTGTTGAATTGATTCTTTTATCATTATATAATGACCTTCTTTATCTCTTTTAACCATTTTTGACTTAAAGTCTATTTTGTGTGGTATAAGTGTAGCTACTCCTGCTCATTTTTGGTTTCTGTTTACAAGACATATTTTTCTATTTCTTTACTTTCTTTTTTTTTGAAGAAAAATCTAACTTTATTGAACATAGGAGTAGATGGACTTTTAAATCAATTATTTTTTGCTTTGCGGTTATTACTTTTGTAAGCCATTTGATCAATGGCAAAACTTATTATTTGGTACTATACAAAGATGTGTGTCTATTTTTGTCAAGTTTAGAATTCATTTCTATTCTGTATTCATAATCAAATAGATTTAAAACATAGATAGAAACATCTGTGACTGGATTATTAGTGCATCGTAACACAGGGTATATACACTGCTGAAGCTGCAATAAGGGTTGGCTGATCCACAGCAACCTTCAAGCACAGGTACAGACTCAGGTTGCACTCTTATTCCTACACTGGTGGGAGTTAATGTAACAAGTGAATGCTTTACCCCCACCTCTTTGCTGAACAAAAATACATACAATGTAGCATTTTCATTGGGCAAGACTTGCCTTCTACATTTCACATGAGAATGCAATATAACCCTTTCTTCAACAAAATGACCAAAGGACTAATGAAGCCATCTTTGCAAGAAGGGTTCGATAAACATCTTTTATTGTCATAAATCCTCCAGTAGGAAATGGAGAATTCACTGCCCTTACTTAGAAAAAGGCTATGTAAATAGTTATCTTGTAAATTTGTATGTGCAGCTCACCAACATTCCCTTATTGGAAACATCAGTATTTCCACATCACAGTTCCCAAAAAGACTTCAAAGTCTCAAAATTCTGTGTCTCCTTTGGCTTGCTTCTCTCTCGACTGTACCCAGGCTTTATTAATGGTTCGCTTCATGTCATCATCTCCATCTTCATAAATTTTCTTTAGAACATGTGTCAGCCCCTCACTAGAATCTGTTTCAGTGTCATATGAAGGCTTTTATTTTTCTTTGCACTCTTTTTCTTTTCTTTTTGAGTTGGAGTCTCACTCGGTCGCCCAGACAGGAGTGCAGTGGCCGCTTCCGGCCACCACAGCCTCGCCTGCTGGGCTCCGGCGATCCTTCCGCCTCAGCCTTCCGAGTAGCGGGAATTACAGGCGCGCGCTACCACGCCCGGTTGATTTTTTGATTTATTGTAGAGATGAGGTCTCGCTGCCCAGGCGGGTCTCGAACCCGCGGGCTCAGGCAATCCACTCACCTCAGCCTCCCAAAGGCGTGGGATTATAGGCTGAGCCACCGAGTCCGGCTGTCTTTTTCAACCTTAGTCTGGTAGTCCCAACTAGTGTTCTTTGCTTTCTTTCTACATAAGATAAGAACTGTATCAGTCTTGACTTTTTTGGAACTGCCTTCCACAGAGATAGGCTTCAGGAGACTATTCACAATCGTGGAGTAACTCTTCCCATTGAGATTCTTTTTTTTTTTTTTTTTTTTTTTTTTTTGAGTTGGAGTCTCACTCTGTCGCCCAGACTGGAGTGCAGTGGCCGCTCCCGGCCACCGCAACCTCGACCTGCTGGACTCTGGCGATCCTTCCGCCTCAGCCTTCCAAGTAGCCGGAATTACAGGCGCGTGCTACCACGCCCAGCTGATTTTTTGATTTATTGTAGAGATGAGGTCTTGCTGCCCAGGCGGGTCTCGAACCCGCGGGCTCAGGCAATCCACTCACCTCAGCCTCCCAAAGGCGCGGGATTACAGGCTGAGCCACCGAGCCCGGCTCCCATTGAGATTCTTTACCAGAAGATCAAATGACCGCTCTGTGAAATGCACCTACACATTCTCAGTAGGAACCTGATGAACTCCAGTTAAGGTAATATAGAGTTTTCACAAACTTATCTGACTGATCCCATCCATAATTACTGATCTTCGCTGTGTATCCTGTTGTAATGGGAGCGACCACAGCAAGCTGGCTTTTCATTGTCAAGGATTTCTGCTTTCTGTGATTTCTGTTGTATCTTGTTCTTGATTTCTACCTCAATCTTGGATTTTTCAGCTGTGAGGGCATCACGTACTCTTTTCCTAGTGGCCTTTTCCAGCAATTCCTTTACCTCTTCCAGATCTTTCTGTAGCTCCTCTAGGGCCACAGCCACGGTTGGTGGCCAGGCCGCAGTCGCGCAGGAAACGCCCGACCGAGCACGCCATGCCCGAGCGCACTCCTGGCCGCGCGAGCCGCCGCGTCTGCAGTGCGCACACACCCGGACCGGCTTATTTCTTTACTTTCAGTCAATGTGTGTCTTTACACATGAAATTAGTTTCTTGTAGACAGCATGTTGTTGGGTCATTTTTTTCTTTTTTAAAAAAACTCCATTTAGCTAGTCTATATCTTTTATGTGTAAAATTTAACCCATTTATGCTCAAGGTTATTATTGATATGTGAGAATTTATTCCTGTCATTTTATTAATTGACTTCCGGTTGTTTTGTATATCTTTTGTTTCTTAGTGTTTCTTAATGTGATTTTGTGTTTTATGCCATTGCAATATTTGAGTCCATTTTCTTTCTTATTTGTGTTTGCTCTCCAAGTATGTATTTTAAACCTCTCATACATTTTGCTATTTTAGAAAGTAGAACCAATTTACACTCCTGTCGATATCAATTGGTAGAAGTGAAGAAAATGCCCCCTCACTGCCCTAGTACCAGCATGGAGTGTTAAAATTTAGATAGTCTTCTTTGTTTTGTAGATAAATACTGTTTTTTATCTATAACATTTTTTTCTTCTATCAAATATTTGACACTTATTATGGATGTGAAATATTTGAGCTTAGTAAAAGACACTATAGTTTAAGAGGCTTTCCTAATTTCTGTGTTAATTTTTTTTTTTTTTTCATTTTCTTCAAGGGATTCTGTTGATACTGAAGAAAATATTTTTTTCCCAGTCTGGCTATTTTGCATTCTCTAGACCTTTTAAAATCCTATATGCTTCACCTTTGATGTCTGTCTTCTTTAGTATTAATTTTTTTCTACTTTTTTTCTGACCTTGGTTACTTTAAACAGTTAATTTTACATTATGTTTGAGGGGGGAGCCCAAACTTGGTATATAGCATTTTAGCAAAAACTTGTCCTTGTTCTATCAAAGTCTTGGAAGCTTTCTTTATTTTTTAGAGCCACAGGTAATTGCTCTAAATTTAAGGACACTTTAACTCTAGATGTTTTGTCTCAAAATGTCCCCAGTCTCATCTTATTACACTCATATGACTTCTCTGAGTTGTGTGACCTTTGCTCTGCCTCACCACAACCCTAATGAGGGCACCAGGTAGAACTTTTCAAGCACAATTTTAAAAAGCCAGTCATTGAATACAAATAGAGGAAATTTCTATTCCTTTTTGTTATTCTTCCCTTTATAAGAAGAGGAGATTAGAACACAGACACACACAGAGGAAAGACTGCATTGGAAGCACAGGCGGAAGATGGCCACTTACAAACCTAAGAGAGAGGCCTCAGAGGAAATCAACCTTGCTGACACCTTAATCTTGGATTTCTGGCCTCCAGAATTCTGAGTAAATACATTTCTGTTGTTTCAGCTACCCAGTCTGTGGTACTTTATTATGGCAGCCCTAATAAACTAAGATCCTCTTATTAAGTGGAAACACAAACTAAGACTTAGCTAGGACAAAGCATGCATGCTCTTCTTTTCCATGGAAAAAGGAAACCAAAAGTAAAATTTCTCATCCAGAGAGATAATATCAGGAAAGATTTATAATGTGACTACACTGTTCCTCTTCTTTTTGAAAGTACCCATTCTAAAGTAATGAAAAGAAGATAAAAATTTTGAAAAAAAGTTCAGAAATTCTGATCTCAATATGAGGTTTTTATGTTTCGTGAAGCCTAGTCTCTGGAAAGTCTGTAATCACTAGAAATGTGTCTTTATTATGGTAAATCATAAGAGATTTATGCATTTCATCCCCAAATCTGAATTGAGAGAAGTATGATTTAGGTTAAATTCCTGGCTTTATCCACCAAACCCTGCAGTCCTTGAATTCTGAGCTAGACTAAAACTTCACAATACAAATATAACATGCTAGTTATCTGGTCCAGGTTATTGTGATGTGTAAAAGTCAATTTCATGAATCTGAAACCAAAGTACACTCAACTTTATTGGCCCTTCTATCTTTAGGTGAGGCAAGTTATTAATAAGCATCTTATCTTTCTTCAGTCAAAAGTTATGGCTTTTTCAACTAAAGAGGAAAAGCATACTTACTTTTAAATAAACACAACTAACTCTTACTGACAATAATCATGATGTTGTATACTTTCATAGTGCTGAACAATCTGCAGAGTGCTTTTAGTATGCCTGGATTTCTTTAGACCTCACGCTCCTGTATAAGAGGTATTATTTTCTCTGTTTTTTTTCCAGAGACAAAATGATTTTCTAAGATCACATGATTGGTTGGTTGCTTGGTTAGTTGGTAATTTTGCTAGAATTTTCCACAATTATATAGGAAGATAAGATATTTTATTTTCCCTTCTTTACAGTAATGGTCTGGAGTCCAAAAATGAAAAGGACAAACAACGTTTTTGGCAACCAACCTAGGATTACATCCAGTGGGGGCTGTTGCAATGGCAGCTCCATAGAGCGGTTGGAGCAGTGAGCTGCTAGGGTTTCAGGTTTTGAAACTCATGTAATTCAATGTATGGTTTTCACTCCCATATAATATAGACAACACTCAACGCAAGGATGGATGCTTGGGAAGAAGAAATGGCGGCATCACAAAACATTTCCTTTTTATAGAATTATATGAAGTAGAGTATTGCCTAATACAGCAATTTAATCAGTTTTCTAATTATCTTTGGTATTCATAAAATTCACAGAAAACTACCTAATGTTATGGAAATAACACTACATTGGACTTAGGTGGTCCAGAGAGAGCCCTTGGACTTCTAGAAAGAAGTCTAGATGATGCCGTGATCCAGATGAATGACTTGTTTCTAGGAGCAACAGAGTACAACATTGAACTTGAAGTACAAGGTGGACCCCCCAAACCCAGAATTTATTCATAAAAAATTGTGGGAATCTGCTGGTGGAGGGGGGCACACTTCATCAACAAGGGTGCCTGCATAACGAACATTTGTATACCTAACCCTGAATTGCACCCCATATCTTTAAAATAAAAAAAGTAAAAAAAAAATTGTGCATTTAGTCTTACATGTTTAAACTTCAGTAACCTTCAAAGTATCCTCCGTTGGATGCAATACACCTGTCGAGATGCTTTCCAACTGCTCGAAACAGGTTTTGAATTTGTCCATTTGGATGCCTTTTAGTGCTTCTGCAGTTTTCTGTTTCACCTCTTCCACATGGGCAAAACATTTCTCTTGGAGAAATTTTTCATCCAGGGAAATAAAAAACAGTCGCTTGGGGCGAGTTGAGGTGAATAAGGAGGTGGGGCACAGGAGTCATGCCGGTTTTGGTCAAAAACTGCTGAACACTCTGCATGATGTGGCAGGTGCATTGTGATAGTGAAAGACCCAGTCACCTGTTTGCCATAACTTGGGATGTTTCTTCTGCAGTGCAGCCTCTTACAACAATACTAGCTGGTAGGTACACTGATGCTGATGGATTCCTAGAATATTTACCTAACAGGGTGAAGCCTGTACTACAAAAGGACCACCTCCAAAAAATAATTCTGGATTTTTTTGGATCCCCTTCATAAGGCACATTCATTTCTAGATAATACATTCATTCTCTGAAGGGCAATTTCTGTCTCTGACAAAGAGAATGGAGGGAGTGGGAAGCTGGGAGGATCCACCTCAGACTCCCAGAGGCCCAGGCAATAACTCAATCAGAAACAGGTAAAGGCTGAGTTGAGAGGGTGCTGTCAATCACTGCTCAGTTAGATTGAATTGATGATGACTGTTGGCATGGCTTGCCTGGCAAACATTAGAGTTCTAAGAGAGGGGAAAAATAGACACACATACTCCTATATTCTCAAAATCAAGTTCATTTTGGCCACTTGCCTAGGACCCCAGAGAATCCCAGGAATGAGACCCCGCTTTACAATATTTAAAAAGATAGACTTCTGCTCAATGCACCAGCAGTTCTGCATGGGTGCTTCTATCACCAATTTACTTGATAAGAAACTTAATTACCAAGCAATGTGCTTCTTCTCTCTTGCCTAACCCATGGAAAAATTCGATTGGTTTTCAATTGCTCATTTTTGACTGAATCTGTCCAAGAAAATATTTTTACCCTTCAGTGAGCAGCAGGAAGAGAGCATTTGGGGATGAGGGATAAAGAGGAGTTAAAAATCATGGCAAGAGGAAACTCATGGGTGGAAATTACATGTAGCCATTCCTTGGGTCCATGCCAGTCATTACCTGTAAAGCTTCTGGGCAAAGTTGGTTTGTCCAGTTGTGGTTCCAACACATAGAAAATGCATTCTTAGGAAAGTATTCGTTTTCTTTACAGGCTTTTATACGATCTCAATGTCACCACCTGAGAGGCTTTGCCTATGTTATATATAGGAAGACTGAGCAAGCCTTCTAGACTGTTCTTCTCTTTTAACACAACCAAGTATTATTTTGACATTCAGATTAGCCAGATGAAACAGAAATGTTCATTTTCCTTTTTATAATTTGTTCTTGTCTTCCTGTTTCTAACAAGTCTTTGTCTTCTTAGTTACTCAGTCAAATCTTTCTGAATTGTTGAAAATGAGGCACATTAGACTGCAAGTCAGGATCCGAGTGTCTTTGACTGAGCGGACTCAGCTCTGCCATTAACTAGTGGTGTGATCCTGGGCGAGTCACTTATTTTTCCTGATCTTTAAAACAAAGAAATCGGGCAAGATAATCTCTAAGGCACCACAGGGCTCTGACAGCTTAGCTATCTCTGATGGAACTGCAGCTCGTCGACTGTCTCTAGGGCTTGTCTTTCTCCAGGGCCAGGATCCTTCTCACTGAAGGACAATCCTGCTGTCAACGAGGTCCTCTCCACTCCTCCATGGCTTCTGGTCCCTAGAAAGATTTTGCCAAACTAATTTTGTTCTATTCATTAATTAACAATATAAATATATACGTTTAAATTAACAACTCCTCCAAAAACAGTGAACCATTAATAATAAAATTTTATAATCACCATAAAACCATCCAGGGCATGGAAGATGGTGTAATAATTCACACCTAATTGCTTTCAACCTTGGGTCCACAAACACACTAGTTAGAGAAATGAATTCAGATACTGTAATTCATGCCAGGTCATGTTTTATTATTTAATTCATCCTTGATACTTAAAAAAAAAGCCTTTGGTGCTCAATTAATCTAAAAACTTACCATGCCACAAACTCCATGGAGAGTTCAAGAGGTTCCATATTTGCCTGTATTGCGAGCCCCTCAGATGGAAGTTCCATCTGAATCCTATAGCACAGAGATTCTTTTACTTAATAATAGAGACAATTTATGTAATATAAACAAGATGCCTAATTGCAATATTGGAGTTTTGAGAAAATTCTTTGTTGGGGGGGGACAAAGGGTGAGCAGTCCACAAGTGAGTAAAAATAGCAATTTACAAACTGAGCTATAGAACTGTAGCAAAATATTTAAGAGCACACACTCTGGAGGCAGACTGCCTGTGTTTAAATCTCGGCTCCACCATTTACTTGGTGTGTTTGACCTGGGTAAGTTACGTAACCTCTTCCCGAGCTTCAGTTTTCTCCTTTGTACAAGGAGATGATGATGGTACCAGGTTGTTAGGAGGATTATGTAAGTGTTTAGAAAAATACCTGGTACTAAGTAAGTGAAACATATATGTTATGTTATTAGTAGTGCTACCGGAGATCATGGCACCCTTCCTTGAAGTCTTGTAAAGTTACAAGGGAAACCCAAAAAAACCCGGAATTATTTTTTGGAAGGCAGGCCTTCAGTAGTATAGGCTTTCTCCTCTAGGTAAGTGTTCTAGGAACCCATCAGCATCAGTATACCAGCTAGCGTTGTTGTGAGAGGCTGCGTTCGGGTTTAGTGAATTTATTTTGAAGATTCTTTCTAGTGTGCCCATTTCATATTGGGTGATTTACAAGTATACCTGCCTACACTGTGCTGAGTAGCCAGCAGGTTTTGACCAAAAAAGGCATGACCCCCATGACCCGTCCTAACTATTCACCTGATCTCACTGTGAGTGATTTTTTTTTGTTGCCCTGGATAAAAAAAGGTCCTCAAAGGGAAATTTTTTGCCCATGTGGAAGTGGTGAAACAAAAAGTGGCAGAAACACTAATAGGCATCAAAATTGATGAATTTAAAGTCTGTTTTGAGCAGTGGAAAAAATGCCTCGATAGGTGTGTTGGGTCAAATGGAGAATACTTTGAAGGTGACCGAAGTTTAAACATGCAAGAAGAAATGAACCATTTTTTATGAATAAATTCTGGGTTTTTTGGGGTCTCCTTTCATATATAATGTGTTGTGTGCATGTAGCCCAAATCTTAATTATACGTGCAATGCTGCTTTTAAGATGTGTGAATCTACTCTGAGGCCTGTGTGCAAATTTAACAAAGTCAATTAATCTGGGAGATTTAAGATACACTGAGGAAGTTAGTATGAGTGAAGAAAATGACAGATAGAAAAGAAGAAGACTTGAGGGAGTTTTTGTGTATTTTGACAGTAAGTTAGTAGCCTTCAATAAATTTTTTTAAAACTCAACAATTAAGGTTTTTCTTCTTGAATCGTTAATGTGATAGGATTACTTCTGTTCAAGAATCCCTATTGAAGATACATAAGAATTTTAAAAAGGAATATACCATTCAAGGAAAAGGGGCACTTGTATTGGTTTTTACTGAGTGCAAATGTGCTGTGTGCTGTGTGAGGGTCTAATTCGGCTTTGCTCCTCTTCTGGGGTGTGTTTTTTACTCTGGTCTTCTGATATGGGAGTTCTGCCTCACAGTGTCTAGAGCTGTCAGCTGAACCAAGACCTACAGTAACTGAGAGTTTATCAAAACCAGAAAGGTAAATATATTTCTATAGGATTAGGTAGACCAACTCCCTTAGCAAATAATGAAAACAGAGAGGGCATCTGCTTGGCTTTTGTATCACACACTGTATGTTTCTTTCTGTCCATCAGCTTTTAGGCCCAATTAATTTATGTTAGTCATGCCTACCAGAAACCATTCTCAAGCAAGAGATCCTGCTTGCTTTCAACATGAAATGTAAATCAGAGGCTAGGATGAACCATAAGAGGAAAGCAACTCAGTAATACCAGCTAATGGAAAGATCAAGGTTCTAATCCCAGCTCCCCTACAAAAAGACATTTACTTGTTCTGTGTTTACTCATCTTTTAAATAAAGAGATTGGATTAGATGACCTCTGATATTGGTTCCACTCAGATATTCTACAAGTTCTATTGGCTTCAAGAATCTCAAAGTGGATCTGTTGACAGTGTCATGAAGTTAATGTGTTTGTGAATTTGGTTAGAGATGTAAGCACCTCTGTTTTTCAATGTACTATTGTTTTCTCATTATTTTGTATATTAATTAAGTATTCTTATTATCTTCCAGGCAATCTATTGGCAATGAGAATATAAATGTTAAAAAATACTTATGTCACTGTTCTCAAAACATATGTAATCATTAATTTTCCCAGTGAAAAGATTCTTAATCTGAGACTTGGGAAGCAAATTGAATATACACCTTTAGGCTAATAGAGAAAAAAGTCAGTTGTCTATTGATGGCATTTATTTGTTTGTAATAATATTTAGAATCATGTCATGTAAATAATGCTAATGTGGAAGTAGCATTTTGTCTGCTCTCATATTTCACAAAGCAGTATTGGCCAGACTCTTCAGAAATGTCTTTGCCACTGGTGTCCTTGCCATCTGAACCACGTTCAGAACTGTAATAACAGTTTGTCAGAGGTCATAATCTTCTCTCTCACATAAATTGCTTGTTTTGTGTAGTATTTGAAATGTATGTATGTCATATGCTTCCCCCGGAAATTCTATACTAAACCATAGTTTGATAAACACGATCTCTGCAACAAAGTTATTTATTCTGTGTGTGTGTGTGTGTGTGTGTGTGTGTGTGTGTGTGTGTGTGTGTGTGAAGGAGTTTGTAAAAGTCTCATTTGCAGCAACTTCCAACACTTGCACTTGCATTTGGGAGATCATCCCCCAAGAACAGTAACAACTTGGGTTAATTTTTTTAAAAAGGTTATTGAGTTAGATATCCTTTATGAACATACAAAAGTACTATTGTGAGGAAGTTATAGGGTAAAGCAACTTTTTAATAAAAACAATCAGTTCTTCAAAAAAAAGTAATTGAGAGGGTTCCTTCTAAATGAGATACTCCCAAAAGATTACTAATTAGGTGATTCTTCCCCTATTTTGAGAAGGACATCTATGGAGCTTTGAAAGGTCATAACACTCCCTAGTCTGCTTCTGCAGGTAAGAACATGGGATGGGTGATAATGGAGAAATCATTTTTATATTCCGTATAAATCCTGATCCATACAATAGGTCACTTGACGTTCATCTCATTGTAACACCAGTGATTTTAATAGTATTATTATTATTTCTACAATTTTTCTTAATGCTGCATTCTTACAACTAAAAGAAAATGATGGTCGTTTGAAGTTTATGACATATTTGTATTGCTAAAAGCAACTTTGTGTGTGTGTGTGAGAAAAGATGCTCACCAGAAATTTGGGGTTTTGGAAAAACTGCTAAATGAGTAAAGTAGTAGCTGCCCAAAACAAGAAATGCCAAGAAGAAGCTGGAGCAATGAAGTGAGCTTGTGTGATTATTGTGGAGACCAGTCACACCAAATTTTCATCTTCTGTTTCCAATTGTTTTACAAGGTTCATTTGTACCAAAATAAGGGTGATTTTCCCCAGGCAAAAGGCCTCTAATTGACTGTAAATGAATCAATACCCATCAGTTTCACAGGAAAAAGCATCCTAATCAGATTGGTTATCAATGGATTAGGTTTCTATCTTGCTGAATCTTTATGTCTCCTCTAGCTTTGGAAGGGGACTAAACATTTCGAGCCAAACTACAGTCTAGTCTGAGGTACTGCAATGCTGTATTGATCTGGATGAAAAAAATGTTCTGAAGAGGCAAGTTCGCCAGACATCTGAATCACTGTAAACAGGATAGCTGATTTTAATGAAAACCTTCTACAATATACACATACTTCTTTATTAAACAAAGTTTCTTGAGAATAAATCAGTCTTCTTAGGTCAAGGTCACAATTTTATAAGCACTAATTACTGTAACATCCCCATTTCCAACTGGCTGATTCGGGTGGTCTCATTTAACACCATCCCACCAGCTGACCCTTCTTACTGTAAGGGCTTCCAGCAAAATTCCTCAACCCTCAGTTATCTATTATCTGCTGGCAATTATGCTGGTGCTGTCTTATACCAAGGAGAGTTCAATAACCACATGAATCGGTAGTGGGG